TTAAATGAAATTTTAAGAATAAAAGAGCATACAGAAAAAAAACTGAAAAAGGCGATTTAACTATCATTATTTTTGGAAATTATGATAGCGAAAACGATATCATAATTTTATGGAAAAACGATATCATAAGGAAAGGTACGAGTATCACTTATGATATTTTTTATCACCTAAGTGATATCGTTTTGATATCGTTATAATATCGTTTGGTTTATTGGGCTAGTCTGTAGTATAGTCTAATCTTTACTCTAGTCAAGAGCGAAAAATTATTTTGTACATTAAAATCGAAAAGTACTAAATTCTTTATAAGTTGGAACAATTTACTTACTAATTTCAATTTTCCATGCCTGGTGTGTAATATATATACATACATTTGTATATTCCTACAATTTCTGTTTGTATTAATGTAGGATAAAACTTTCTATTAAAACAAACATTTCCTCAAATACTAAACAAATTAGTACAAAATTACTCAAAACTTCTTCAAATTGTAGATAAACATCTATTATACATATCTTCTTTATAGGACTAAATGAATAATTTATACATAAATAAATTTAAAATTTGTATGCAATACGTTTAATAACTAAAAAAAATTATTAAGATTATTCTACTCCCAGTACTTTTACTAATAATAAAGAGCATTTTATTTGCATATATTTGATAAAAAGGTATTAGAACAGGATTTGAGGCCTTTTAAAGCAAAGTATTCTGGAGGTTGTAAGTACCTACTTCTACTCTTATTACGTTTTAATTGTTTAATTCAATAAAAATAAATAATAAATAAATGTATTTATGTTAAAATTTTATTCTCTGGCACGCCATGAATTAATTCAAGTTCATTTTATTTGCGCTAAAAGAAATAAAATATAAAAAACATCAAAAATACAAAACAATAAATTGATTTCTTTTTTATTTACTGAGTAGATGGATGGATAGATAATAATATTTTTTAAACAAATAAGCGACCTTGTCTTGTCACTTTAAAAATGGAAAAATCATTTATAGAAAAATCGTTTATAGAACTTGGTTGTTTTCTGAAATAGTTAAGTAGAAAATCAGGTAAGAGTAGGTGTACTAGGTAGGAGGCGATTTGAAGTTTGTAACAAGGTTCAATGGATTATTTTTATTTTTGCCAAATTTGTATTTATTTATTTAAATCCATATGTAGACAATTAGACTATAGACTAGACTATAGACTAGACTATAGACTAGACTATAGACTAGACTATAGACTAGACTATAGACTAGACTATAGACTAGACTATAGACTAGACTATAGACTAGACTATAGACTAGGACTATAGACTAGACTATAGACTAGACTATAGACTAGACTATAGACTAGACTATAGACTAGACTATAGACTAGACTATAGACTAGACTATAGACTAGACTATAGACTAGACTATAGACTAGACTATAGACTAGACTATAGACTAGACTATAGACTAGACTATAGACTAGACTATAGACTAGACTATAGACTAGACTATAGACTAGACTATAGACTAGACTATAGACTAGACTATAGACTAGACTATAGACTAGACTATAGACTAGACTATAGACTAGACTATAGACTAGACTATAGACTAGACTATAGACTAGACTATAGACTAGACTATAGACTAGACTATAGACTAGACTATAGACTAGACTATAGACTAGACTATAGACTAGACTATAGACTAGACTATAGACTAGACTATAGACTAGATATAGACTAGACTATAGACTAGACTATAGACTAGACTATAGACTAGACTATAGACTAGACTATAGACTAGACTATAGACTAGACTATAGACTAGACTATAGACTAGACTATAGACTAGACTATAGACTAGACTATAGACTAGACTATAGACTAGACTATAGACTAGACTATAGACTAGACTATAGACTAGACTATAGACTAGACTATAGACTAGACTATAGACTAGACTATAGACTAGACTATAGACTAGACTATAGACTAGACTATAGACTAGACTATAGACTAGACTATAGACTAGACTATAGACTAGACTATAGACTAGACTATAGACTAGACTATAGACTAGACTATAGACTAGACTATAGACTAGACTATAGACTAGACTATAGACTAGACTGTAGACTAGACTATAGACTAGACTATAGACTAGACTGTAGACTAGACTATAGACTAGACTAGACTAGACTAGACTATAGACTAGACTATAAACTAGACTATAGAGTAGACTATAGACTAGACTATAGACTAGACTAGGGACTAGACTAGACTAGATATCCTAGACTACGGACTATAGATAGACTATAGACTAGACTATAGATAGACTATAGACTAGACTATAGACTAGACTAATAGACTAGACTATAGACTAGACTAAGACTAGACTATAGACTAGACTATAGACTAGACTATAGACTAGACTATAGACTAGACTATAGACTAGACTATAGACTAGACTATAGACTCGACTATAGACTAGACTTATAGACTAGACTATAGACTAGACTATAGACTAGACTATAGACTAGACTATAGACTAGACTATAGACTAGACTATAGACTAGACTATAGACTAGACTATAGACTAGACTATAGACTAGACTAGACTAGACTATAGACTAGACTATAGACTAGACTATAGACTAGACTATAGACTAGCCTATTAGACTAGCTATAGACTAGACTATAGACTAGACTATAGACTAGACTATAGACTAGACTATAGACTAGACTATAGACTAGACTATAGACTAGACTAAGATAGACTATAGACTAGACTATAGACTAGACCTATAGACTAGACTATAGACTAGACTATCGGGACTAGCCTATAGACTAGACTATAGACTAGACTATAGACTAGACTATAACAGACTTAGACTAGGACTATAGACTAGACTTAGAAGTTATAAAATTTTTCTAAATTCAAGTACAAACCTGTTGAGAAAGAAAGAAGAATTAATAAATCCTTTACCCAAAAAAAAGAAACATTTTACAAGGATATTTATTGCTAGCGGGACCACACTACTAAGGAACTAGTTTGTAACCACAGTAAATTATTAAAAAATAACATAAAAACAAATATTTAAAAACAAAGAAATTTAATCAGGTAGCCCTGGTTTTTAAGAACGGAAATTAAAAAAAATAATAAAATTTATTGTTTTTTTTTTACTCGTAGTATGTGTGTATGAGTTACTTAATTGGTCAACGTATGTATGTGTATTTTTCACACAAAATTTGTGTTAAAAATCAACAGTAATTAGTTGTTTTAATAAATTTTGTACAAGTTGTTAATAATTTGTATTTAAGTTTTTTTTTAAAGTATTTTTGGCATTACTATAGTTACAGTTATAAGTCTTTTTTGTAGCTGAACTTAATTACAGTTATTTTTAAATCTGCCTCTATAGTAAATAATATTATTTTTGGTTAACTATTTGCTTCGCTTTTTATTCAATGGCAGGGAATATTTATTAACACTACCTCTGCTATATGTCCAAAAATATGCTGGTTTTAATGTTAAACATGATACCAGTCATGGGTACTTTTTTGATTTTTTTTGTAAGCGTGAGTTGTTTAAAAACTTTTTGAAAATTTGTCTTATATAAAACATTTAATATGAGTTTTATTGATTTGCCCATAACTGTCTTATATGCAACATTTAATTATTAATGATTGTTAGGGAGTGTGTGTATGTTGCTATGTATGTATGTATTCGTGTGAGTAGGTGTTACCAATTGTTTAACACCTGTGCACTCTTATGGCAATAATTGTTTGTCTACGTTTCAAAGGTGGCTGCATTTATAAGTTTATAATAAAATACTATTATTATAGTAATTTTTATAAATAGCTTACTGAGCCTATTACTTGCAATGAGCAAATGTTCTGTCATAATGATCGTAATGTAAAGTTAAAGAGATTTTTGGACGAGATCGTTTTAATCACTTTTTTGGATCAGTGAAAAAACAAGAAACTTTAACGATCCATTGATTTTTTATAAACAAAATTTACGATAATTTGCTTTTCTTTAGAATATTTTATGATCAGTTGGTTTTAAAAGAAAATTTTACGATCAGTAGATTTTCTATAAAAAATTTTTACAATCAATAGATTTTCTGTACTAAATTATTCGCTGTATAGAAAATATTACGATCAGTTGAGTAAGTATCAAATATTTTATGATCCATTTTACGATCAGTTGATTTTATTGATTTTTACGATCAGTTTCCTCAATAAATTCACGATCAGTTAATTTTATTTAAAGGAAATCTTTGATCAGTTTATTTAATCTAAAAAAATCGACAATCAGTTGATTTTTTATAAAAAAAATAACTTGATTTTCTATAAAAAAATGTCACGAACAGTTTATTTTCAATAAATTAATTCTATGATCAGTTGATTTTCTATAGAAAACTTTACGATCAGTTTATTTTATCTAAAAAAGTCGACAATCAGTTGATTTCCTATACAAAATTTTACGATCAGTTGATTTTGTGTAAAAAATGTCACGATCAGTTTATATTCTATAAATAAATTCTATGATTAATTGATTTTCTATAGAAAATGTCACGATCAGTACATTTTCTATAAGAAAATTATATGATCAGTTAATTTTCTATTGAGAACTATACGATCAGTTGATTTGTCTTCGAAAATGTCATGATCAGTTGATTTTCTATAAATAAATTATACGATCAGTGAATTTTCTATATTTAGAAAAATTTACGAACAGATGATTTGCTACAGAAAATGTCATGATCAGTTGATTTTCTATAATAAAGTTATATAATCAGTTATTTTGCTATAGACAAGTTTACGATCAGTTGATTTGCTATAGAAAATGTAGCGATCAAGTTTTTTTATTTACGATCAGTTGATTTAGTAACGAAAATTCTACGATCAGTTGATTTTCTATAGAAAATTTTATTATCAGCACATTACGATCAGTTTATATTAAAGAAAGTTTTATCAAAAATGTATATTTTTTAGGATTTTTTAATAACTTACCCTGAAAGTGGGTTTCACAAACTGAAAGAGAGAAAAAATCATGAAAATTTTTTAAATAATTTTTACTTTTTTGTCAATAATAAAATATATTAAGAAATATTCCAATATCTTTTCAAATCCTTATAAATTCGACCACTTACTACTCTTGGTTTGATATCAACATGTTAAATTTGTATATGAAATAAAGACAAGAGCAATAATATATCAGCAGGGGAATTATATACAATATTCAAACATGTGAATATATAAAAACAACAACCTTCAATTAAATGCAGTCACAGTGTTTTTATAATAAAACCGCACACACTCCTGTGTCTCATGCAAATATTGCGATAGGACACCCACTCCTCTGGGGGAGATTCCAGTAGTTCTGAACCCAAACTATAAGTTCAAACTTGTACAGGTTAACGAATCACAGAAGATATCTGTTTACTTTTAATGTGATTGTAATGACAATATACTTAAATAATAATCTCTGAATAGATTACATTGAGACAGTCTGGTAGCTAGTTCTAGGTAGTCAAAGTGTTTGACTAATTTTTTATGTACTCCAAGGAAAGAACATGAAAATATGATGAATTATTCATTTAAAATCATGCAGTATTCTTTTCTTTTCGTAACTGTATACATTCTAGATTACTAGAGGATATAAAAAAGACAAATAGGCTCATCGACGCTATAACTGTAATAAGTTTGGAAACCAAATGATTTAATTTGGCTGTATAAATTGTAGTTACCTAAAAACTAGTCCATGGAAGCTTTTGCCATTTTAAAAACTACCGGTTAGTATAACAGAATGAAAGAAGGGTGTGCGTGTATTTGGAGCGGGGGTGGGTGTTTGGTTGTATGTGCCTGCGAATATCACTGTGGTTTTAGTACTGTATACATATTTTATGCTTCTGTCAATAAAATTTACAACTTAATTAAGATGTTTGTTATTGTCGTCGACGTTTTTGCATATTTTTTTATTATACACTACGCCACTACAGCGGAAAGGATATATTGAGAAAGCTCTAGCAATTGTAACGCCTAGAAAATAGTTCTTTTATCACAACCACAGTCTAGTGTAGTCTAGTCTCTAGTCTATGGTCTATATAGTCTAGTTTATGGTCTAGTCTAAAGCCTACTTTATAGTGTAGTCCGTAGTCTAGTCTATAGTGTAGTCTATAGTCTTGTCTATAGTGTAGTCTAGTGTAGTCTATAGTGTAGTCTATAGTGTAGTCTATAGTGTAGTCTATAGTGTAGTCTATAGTGTAGTCTATAGTGTAGTCTATAGTGTAGTCTATAGTGTAGTCTATAGTGTAGTCTATAGTGTAGTCTATAGTGTAGTCTATAGTGTAGTCTATAGTGTAGTCTATAGTGTAGTCTATAGTGTAGTCTATAGTGTGGTCTATAGTGTAGTCTATAGTGTAGTCTATAGTGTAGTCTATAGTGTAGTCTATAGTGTAGTCTATAGTGTAGTCTATAGTGTAGTCTATAGTGTAGTCTATAGTGTGGTCTATAGTGTAGTCTATAGTGTAGTCTATAGTGTAGTCTATAGTCTAGTCTATAGTCTAGTCTATAGTCTAGTCTATAGTCTAGTCTATAGTCTAGTCTATAGTCTATTCTATAGTCTAGTCTATAGTCTAGTCTATAGTCTAGTCTATAGACTAGTCTATAGTCTAGTCTATAGTCTAGTCTATAGTCTAGTCTAGTCTAGTCTAGTCTATAGTCTAGTCTAGTCTAGTCTAGTCTATAGTCTAGTCTATAGCCTAGTCTATAGTCTAGTCTATAGTCTAGTCTATAGTCTAGTCTATAGTCTAGTCTATAGTCTAGTCTATAGTCTAGTCTATAGTCTAACCTATAGTCTAGTCTATAGTCTAACCTATAGTCTAGTCTATAGTCTAGTCTAGCCTATGGTCTAGTCTATAGTCTAGTCTATTCTATAGTCTAGTCTATAGTCTAGTCTATTATATAGTCTAGTCTGGTCTATAGTCTAGTCTATTCTATAGTCTAGTCTGTAGTCTAGTCTGTAGTCTAGTCTATAGTCCAGTCTTTAGTCTAGTCTTTAGCGTAGTCTATGGTCTGGTCTAAAGTTTATACTATGGTGTAGTCTATTGTCTAGTTTATAGTCTAGTCTAGTCTTTAGTCTAGTATTTAGTCTAGTCCTTAGTCTAGTCTTTAGTCTAGTCTATAGTCTATTATATAGTCTTTTCTACAGACTAGTCTATGGACTTTTCTAGTCTATAATCTAATTAATACAACTGGCCCGATTGCCGTAGTTGTAGGGTCTCATATATTCGGACTTATCTGTCTATATTTTTTTACTTGTTGTTGTGTTCCAGTTCTTGTTATTATACATTTATCCGTCCTTTTCCCTCCAACAATTCTTTCCCTCGTTTAGCGTGTCATATTAATGAGAATCCTAATTTTTCTTTTACGTTTTTATTATGGTGACAAATACATATACATCTAAGCATGCACATACAGACAAATATTTATGAGCAGATATTAAATTTATTAATCTACAGATGTATGCTGGGTTTACTGTATTAATTGAACAGTTGAATGAAGCTAAAAGGTATTATTTCTTTAAGGTTCTATTTATAGGGATTTTTTATTTGTTGTAAGTTGTTTTAATTTCAATGAAAATAGTACGATCAGTTGGTTTTCTATAGAAAATTTTACGATTGGTTGATATTTTACTTCTAGTAGTGATTCTATAAAGAATTTCAAATTTTCTCTCTATTGAGTTAAAATGTGGAAGTGTAACATTATTAAATTCTTGTAATTTTTTTGTAAATTTCTTTTTTAAAAAATGTATTTTTAAGTGTCATAACAATTGTTTATGATTTTATAGATTTTTTGGTTTCCACTTTCATTTTTGTTTTTATTTCCTCATAAAAAAAAAACATGTTCTTGACAACTGTTGTCTGCCTTGTGGAACATTAAAAATTTTCATATTCATCTCCCTGTTACTCCCTGAAACTCAAAAATGGAATTACGCAGATGTAACAATCGATGTATGTATATATTTGCATTGAACAAGTACTTTAAAAGTTTCCTAGATACAAGACAGTGATACGTGGTGTGGTAACCAGGGTAGGTATTTGTATGTATAAATATTTAAATGTTTTTCCTATCATTAGAATTTTTATGTTAATTTATTATGATTTGTTTTCTTTACATGATTGTTGTTTGTTGTTTTCTTATATAATATTTGGTTTTATTATTTTGCTTTTATTCTATATTTACGAGCCATATCAAGCATCTTTGCATATCATTGTTTGTCATTATAAAAATCTATAAAAAATCATATAAAGTGGAAAGAAAATTCTGTAGAGTTTTGAATGTCTTCTTATACACCCCCTTAAAGACTTGATTTGAATTTTTTTCTATTTAAGAAATTTGAAAGCCTCTTCTTTAGGCACAAAAATGTAATTGCAAATTGCCAAAACGAATTTTGTTTTTAATTTTTCTTTGCCTCATTTATTAAACAAAATCCCATTTTTTTTTGCCCCTACAAGTCCCTGTTTGCCAAAGTGCAATTCATTTATGTCTCTTGTCTCTCTAATGGTCATAATTAGTATCAAGAGGCTTAAAGCAAATGCACTTAAGCCATTTAAATTAGCCATGTTAAGCAGAAAACCCCTAAAGAGTTAAAGGATGGAAGAGAGAAAAAAAGAGTCTTGGTAATCATAATTGCAGTAAATAGTAATGACCATATACCAAGAAACACGACCACTAATACCCTTAAAGGAGGTGGAGGAGAACTAAAGGAACTGAGTGGTACGATTATTGGTATTATGCAACCAACACAATTTCACTTTACAATGTTTAAACAGAAAAATTTAACATAAAATTTTTAAAGCATTTGTAGCAAGGATATAAAACGGTGATGGGCAAAATAGACACTTACATACATATGTCTTAGTCTTTATAACAGTTTTCCTGTGGCAAATATTTAATAAATTTCCTATTTTCGAAAAAAAAAAACATTTTGGTGAATTCTCTATTTGCAAACCTCTTATTATATTCTATAGAACATATCACGAACACAAGATTTTTTATAGAACATTTCACAATCACTAGATTTTCCATAGAAAATTTCACAATTACAAAATTTCACAATTAGAAAATTTCACGATCACAAGATTTTCTATAGAAAACATCACGATCTCAAGATTTTCTAAAGTAAATTTCACGATCAGTATGAATTTCTATAGAAAATTTCACCATCACAAAATTTTTTAGAGAAAATTTCACGATCACAAGATTTTCTATAGAAAATTTCATGATCAGTGTGATTTTTTTGAACATTTCACGATCAGTTTATTTTCCATAGAAAATTTCATGATTCAAAGAAATTCCATAGAAAATTTCACGTTCAGTATGATTTTCTATAGAAAACTTCACGATCTCAAGATTTTCTAAAGTAAATTTCACGATCGGTATGAATTTCTATAGAAAATTTCACCATCACAAAATTTTTTAGAGAAAATTTCACGATCACAAGATTTTCTATAGAAAATTTCACGATCACAAGATCTCCTATAGAAAATTTCACGATCACAAGATTTTTTATAGAAAATTTCACTATCAGTAGATTTTCTAAAGAAAATTTCACGATCAGTATGATTTTCTATAGAAATTTTCACGATCAGTATGATTTTCTATAGAAAATTTCACGATCAGTATGATTTTCTATAGAAAATTTCACGATCAGTATGATTTTCTATAGAAAATTTCACGATCAGTATGATTTTTTATAGAAAATTTCACGATCAGTATGATTTTCTATAGAAAATTTCACGATCAGTATGATTTTCTATAGAAAATTTCACGATCAGTATGATTTTCTTTAGAAAATTTCACGATCAGTATGATTTTCTATAGAAAATTTCACGATCAGTATGATTTTCTATAGAAAATTTCACGATCAGTATGATTTTCTATAGAAAATTTCACGATCATTATGATTTCTTATAGAAAATTTTACGATCAGTATAATTTTCTATAGAAAATTTCACGATCAGTATGAT